CTCCCCATCTCCCCCCCAGCCCCACGCACGTGCCCAACTCGGCGGGCTGTGTGCGCAGCTGCTCCAGCAGCTCTCTGTAGCTGGGATCCCCCAGCAGCGCCCGCGTCCGGGGGTCCGCCTCCAGCTTGGCGTAGAGGTTGGGGATACTGAAAGGATTCAGCAGTTTCCGCTCTGGGGAGGGGGCACGGGGAAGGAGGGGGGGGGTCAGGGAGGCTCCAATGCCCCCAGGTTCCAGCCAGGACCTCCCTGTGTTGTGCCCCCCCCCAGGACAGCATCCTGCAGGGTGCCCTTCCTCCTCTGTGGGATCCCCAAAATCTCTCAGCTGCTGCCAGCCCTACTCTGAGATCCCAAAGCCCCCCAGGATCCCTTGTTGGAAGCCCACAATCTCTCAAGGGACCCCCAGTACTGCTGTGGAATCCCTCCCCTAAAATCTCCCCAAACCCCAATCTCTCTCAGGACTCTTCTAACCCCATTCTGAGAACTCAAAATCCATTCAGGACTTCCCACGTTCCCACTTAGAACTTCTCAAATCCCACTCTGAACCCCCACCCCCCTGTGACCCCCCAACCCTTAAAGTCTCCCCCAGCCCTTCACCAGGACCCAAAAACTCACTCATAACTATTCTTAACTCTATTCTAAGACCACAAAACCCGCTCAGGATCCCTCCCAGCCCCATTCTGCAGCCCCAGACTCCTCTCAAGACCCCTCTAACTCCACTCTTAGACCCAGAACACCCATCAGGACCCTCCCAATCCCACTCCGGAACCCTGAAATTCATTCCAAATCCCTCCAACTCCACTACATGACCCCAAGACTCCCTTAACTCTTGTCTGTAAACCCCCACACCTCCTCAAGACCCCTCTAACTTCACTCTGGGACCCAGAACCCCCACCAGGACCCCCTCCAGCCCCGTTCTATGGCCTCAAAACCCCCCTTTGAGATCCCTCTGACCCCACTCAGTGACTCCAAAGCGCCCCCCAGTGACCAAAATCTTCCACCCCCCCTCCTCACCAGCCAGCCTGGCCTCCATGTTGTGCAGCCCCTCACGCAGCTGTGCGTTGCCAGGTTCGTGCTTCAACCCTTCTTCATACGTGGCTTTGGCCTCCTCAAAACGGTTCAGGAACTCCAGTGCTGCTGCCTTACGTGAGTAGCCCTGCGTGGGGACATCATGATGTCACCCTGATGTCACCGTGATGGCACTGTCACAGTGACAAAAGCATCACAACGACGTCACGCTTCCCCCAAAGATGCACCAAAGCCATTCAGGAACTCCAGGGCCACCCCTGACCCCACGCTGTGCTGCCACTGAGACACCATGGTGACACCACTGTGGCACAGCAACGATGTCATGGTGACATCACACCCCCCAAAAGGCCTCAGCGTGGCTCAGGGACCCCCGTGCTGCCGCTCTGGGTGAGCAGTCCTACATCAGCAGTGACAAAATGACATCGTGGTGACACTGCGATGACATCACAGGGTGCCATGGTGATGACATCAGAACCTCTGGAGCTCCAGCAGCTTTGTTTGAGCAGCACAGGGACAGTGCTGTCATGTCACAGTCACGCGTCACCACTGCAATCCTGCCACCATCAGAGCCATCGTGGTGATGTCACGGAGGTGTCACACACCCCCAAAGTCACCACAGAGCTCCACCAGCACCACGGTGACACAAAACAGGGCTGGGTGCACAGCCCTGCGTGATGCTGACACCACAACATCGCTGTGACATCACAACAGTGACATCACAGTGACACCAGCAGGACCCCAAACACCTCCAAAGTGTTTCAGAGAGCCCAGCAGGGCACGCAGGTGACAGCACAGCATCACAGTGACGGTGTGATTGCATCAGGGTGACATCAGCACCGCGTCACGGTGTCAGGAGGACCCCAAAAACCACGAGGCAGCTCCATTGAGACCCTGGGATGCGTCCAGAGAAAGGCAACGAAATTGGTGAGGGGTCTGGAGCATAATGGGGTCTTATGAGGAGTGGCTGAGGGAGCTGGGATTGTTTGACTTGGAGAAAAGGAGGTTCAGGGGGGGAAATTCATTGCACTCTACAACTTCCTGAGGGCAGGTTGTGATGATGAGGAGGGGACCAGTTTTCTTGAGTACGCATTGAACATCCCCATTTTTCTGCATTACCCACCAAGCAGACCTGGTCCTTGGGCAAAAACAATTCCACAGAGAAGTTTGCCCTTTCCAGAAGCTGGAAGAACCCAAACTGCTTTTCCCAAAGTGCTCTTTGTGTGTACAACAAGGACTTTGTCTCAGTATGTAGGGAGCTGGATTGGGTAGGACCATCACGACTGATAGATCCTCTGGTATTGACTCACCAGGTGACTTCTGCCAAATGCTCCTCCCAGTGCTTAAACGTTCTGCCACCCATTGCTTTCACCATAAACAACCTACTGCATCATTCAATTTTACCAGAGCCTGGTGCATGGGAGGGAATATGGTAAATCCACACAATGCTGTGATCTTTGGCCCAAGTATTTGCAAGAGAATTTTTGAAATGAGTCCCATTATCTGACTCAATTCTTTCTGGGGTGCCACAGGACTTGTTTCTCAAGACCTAATATGGTGTTTTGGGTGGTAGCATGGGGTACTGCATATGTTTTCAAGCCACCCAGTGCTTGCCACCACCATGGTAAGCACATAACAGCACTGCAAAATCGTGGCAAGGTGATAAAATCAACCTGCCATGCCTCCCCATATTTATACTTCTGCCATCACCCTTCCTCCCAGAGTGGTTTCATTCTCTTGGCTTGTTTGATTATGGCACATGTTTCACAAACATGAATAACCTGTGCAATAGCATCCATATTTAAGTCCACCCCTCAGTCTTTAGCCTATTTATATGTTGCATCTCTCCCTTGATAACCTGAGGTCTCAAGGGCCAACCGAGGTAGAAATAATTCACCCTTGTTCTGCCAGTCCAGGTCGATCTGAGCCACCTCAATTCTGACCCGAAGAAATGACCACAAGTTGTAACAGAGGAAGTTCAGATGAGGCATAAGGAAGAGCTTTTTCTCTCAGAGAGTGGTCAGGCACTGGAATGGCTGCACAGGGAGGTGGTGGAGTCGCCGTTCCTGGCAGTGTTCAAGAGGCATCTGGCTGAGAAGCTAAGAGATCTGATTTAGTGCTTGTGGTAACAATGGCGATGGGAGGATAGCTGGACTGGATGATTTTGTAGGTCCTTTCCAACCTTGTGATTCTAAAAACTGGATTAGATGGTCTTGTAGGTTCAATCCAACCTCGTGACCCCAGCATGATCGCTTCACACAGCACCCCAGTGACAATGGACCCCATAGAATCACAGAATCGTAGGGGGTGGAAGGGACCTCAAGAGATCATCGAGTCCAACCAGGAAGGGGGGAGAGGGAGGGAGAGGGAGGCAGAGGGG